GTTTGTTAACCAATGGGGCCAAACAAGCCCTTAGTTCACATGAATAAGTAGTTTAGAACTTGAAATTCTGAGCTACTTAATTTTAAAAAAAGTAGGTTCGAAATTTTGTGTTTCAAACTCACATGTCACTCAGGAAAAAAAAAAAACTGACACATTTTTGGTGGAGTTCTAAACAAGAGATATTTTTTAAAATAAATATAACAAAAAGAGAAGATACATGAGTGTAAACCATGAAAAATGTGAATATGGTCATACTTAGCAAGTCTCCGTTTAAGACACGATTGTTTCAAAAAATCTCCACTATTTTGAAATCCGTCAAGAATTCCGAGTTTTTCAAAAAATATTAAAAAAAATCACTTTTTTAATGGAACCGATATAAATTCGTATTTTCACTTTTTTCAAAAAACTTTTCGACAAAACTTCTTCCCTTTGACTTTCTTTTTTCATTGACTTAATATTATTGAATTTTTGTTTAAAGATAAATACATTAACATTGGAAGTAAATTAAGAATCTTTATTTAACAAAATATTGTCTAAAAAATTTCACCAATGAGTTCCCTTAAAAACACTATACAAAAAATAGAAGCAATATATTCCCCCAAAAAAAATAATCAAAACAATAGTATATCTCACAATAATAGGCAGAATTAGAAGAAGGGTAACCTAATGAAAAATCCTTTTTATTTTTCTTTAAACCCATAGCGTCTTTATAGAGAAAAAGATATTTGAATGTTCTTAAGCATTTTATTGCATTTTTTATGTATAGAGAAGTTTGAATAATTTTATATTTTATTTTTATTTTTAATTTTTATTTCATTGGAGCATATAACATAGCATTTAGGATGGACTACTATTTTATATATTTGGGTTTTTAAATTTTTTAACATTAACATGAATCCTCTAATGGGGGCATATTTTTTTTTCTTTCATTGAAACATAATCTTATGCCTTGGTACACAGTTCTTGTTATTTACTAATTAGTTATTGTGTTTAGTATTGTTGTTATTCTTGCATTTTATACTCCTAATAAATCTATGATGTGTTTGTGTTGTGAGAACATGATAAGCATTGTTGCTGGATTTATTAAAAATTTCAACAAAAAATTGTCAAGTATTACCTAATGACACTAATAAGGCTATAAAATCGTTATTTAATGGATTTAATATATTTATACAAGAGCTGCAAATCATAATCCTAAATTGTGTCATTATTATTTTTTAGAATGTTAACTGTTATATTAATAAAGAAAGAGAGAAGTGTTATTCCACATATGGAAAGCAAACATAACCCTCATGCAAAGGAGGATGAGAAAGAGTAGAATGTTGACTGTTATATATATGGAGAGAGAAGTAAGTACAGGAAGAAGAGAGAAATGCTATTCCACATACGGAAAGCAAACAGAACCCTTGTGTAAAGGGGGATGAGAGGGAGTAGAATCAAAAAACTTATTTTTATTAGTTGCAATGCGAAAAACAGAGCAATCAACAAAAAGATGTCTATCTCAAAAAATTAGGCGCCTCTTAAACCTGCTCCATCTTTAGCTTGAGTGTTGCCTGGTTTTCCTCCCTCCAGATATGCTTCCATGAGACGCAAATATCCCTACAAATGTAGTGAATCTCATACAAAATGTGTGCCAGGTTGTATGGAGGAGGTGAAAATTAAGAAGCCCAAGCTATATAATACTTTTGGAGTCTCTTTCGATAATGAGGGGCACTGAGCGGTAAGGTGAACACAGTCTGAGCCCTTCAAGAAGGGTAGTTACTTCTGCCCCTGTGGAGTCAAAATGATCTATGGATTTGGATAAGGAGGCAAGAGTGGATGCTAAATTGTCCCTTATGAGTGCCCCTACTCCAGCTGGTCTTGGGTTTCCTAAATAGCACCCATCGAAGTTTAGTTTGAGCAAAACCTAGCTCAGGAGGTCTCCAACAGAAACTTCATGATATGCCTTTGCTGTGATGTTGTATAATAGTTCTCCAATTGTTGAAGAAAACAATGTGGGGTATACCTTTAAAGTCCTTATGGTTAGTTGCCCAAAAGACCGTAACCAAATCCAAAATGTTCACGATTATAAAATTTACCTTATTTTTTAGCAAACCATACATTTTACCCAACGTTCGACATTTTGAAATAAACCAATTAATAACCAATGTTTTGGTTTGCCGATATTTTATTATTCCCCGACTTGCTAACTATGGTTTCAATATCACAAATATTATGAGATGTTTACGTTATTCACTTAAAATATATTTCTCATAATTAAAAAAAAACTTTACATAAAAATTGCATTTTATTTGGAGAAATTAACATACAAATTCCTTTATACTTCTAAAATTTACAAGCAGTCCCATGTATTTTATATCTTATACTTAAGTCCCACTTTTTTGTAGTGGCTCTTGTATTTTCCTCTCTTTTTTCTTTTTTTCTATATATTTGATTCAGCTCAAATTTTGCGCATTAATAGTTCTCACTAAAGTACAGTAGTAAAAAAAATTAAAAATATAATTGATTTATATAAAATAACAAAAATACCCCAACAAATTTCAAAATTTTAGGGCCATTCTGGTCATCTTATTCATTTTGAAATTTCATTTTGGCATTTATTTAGAAATATAAGATGGAGAAAACTGTCAACACCAGAAATTTGAGCTTAATCGGATGTATAAAAAATAAAAATAAAAAAAAATCTAAATACATTTAGCACTCTAGAAAACTAGGAATTGAGCATAAAATATAGAAAATTTTTTTATCAAAATACCCATGAGAGATGCATTATTTGACAATTTACGCATTCACAGCTATTCCAACTCATAAGAAAGTTTCTTTTGAAAGGTATGTTTAAATTAAGTCAAACTCTATGGCTAAAATGCTAAATAATTCATCTCACAGGCATTGTGACAAGTTCTTCAATATAAAATATACATGACCATTTTCAATTGGCTAGTTCTTCAATATAAAATATACATGACAAGTTCTTCAATATAAAATAATTAATGTTTACTTTAATTGGCATACGTAGAAAAGGAAAAAGATTATACACTTTAAACAATCAAATTAGGGCACACATCAAAAAGTTCAATAAAAGACGTTGTTTTGATGTTTAACTATCTTCAAATTGATCATCTCAACCTCAAGATGTATAGACAAGAGAAAAAAATTGGATTTCAAGTTTTGGAAATAGTGCATCCAGTATTACATTTTTGGACCGTCAATTTTCAAAATTTTAAATTTTCATAGATCTACTCGATCTACACTATTTTTGAAGCTTTAAATTTTATAATTAGAGATAAAAATATATTTTAAGACTATCATAAAGATTTCCAGTATCGAAACCACATTTCTCAATACTATTTGAAGTTGGCCCTATACAAACGGTACATAAATTATACTCGAGTTTTACCTTTTTGGTCTTTTTCATATTTTTCGTTTAACCCCTAACTTGCATATCCATAACCTGCGTTCCTTTGGGGATAGTAAAATTGGGTGCCTCAAACCACTTGGGAGTGGATTGACATCCAAAATATGTAGTCTCTCTTGAGTGGAAGAAGTTTATATAAGGTCGATACTTCGCTAGTCTCTCATAAAAGGAAGAAGTTCATATATAAGGTTGATACCTAAATATGTAGAATTAAGAGGCACCTCCCATGAATGTCTTGGCGCACATCTAAAATCCTTTTAAAAACATTATTTTAATGTCAAAAATATCTAATAGATCATCAACATATAGAAAAAAAAAGATTTCAAATCCTAAAATTAGTACATCTTGCAATATATTATCTAGACCATCCATTTTTAAAATTCACTTTCTTATAAATCGACTTAATTTGAATAACTTTTAGAGTTCACAATTTTATAATTAAAAACAGAAAGTTAGATGTATTGATTGCTTTGAGCATCCTCTAGTTTAGGATGAAGTCCACCACAACTTTGGTGACATCCTCCCCCAATATAATCCAAAAAGTGTTGGAAGAACAAAACCTAAAAGCCATTCGGTCCCGGGGCTTTGTCCACTTCCAGGGCTTTAACAGCGAACTTAACCTCGACTTGCCTTTGTGAAAGATAGCTGGGCTAAGAAGGATTTGGTTGTCAACATCAGTTATCAAGCGAAGGATAATTTCTAGCCGTCTTGCTAATTGACTTTCTTTTACATGTCAAGGACATCAAAATTGCATCTCACGACAAAGTTCGGAGGAGCTCCTAAGGTTGAAACCACCTCATTACAAACTATAGAGATATTTCTTTTAAAATTTAAAAAATAATATTAGAATTCCCTTTACAAGATACACTATATACAAGACTTGAAATTCATTTGTTTTTTTCAAGGCTCATATGATGAATTTGAGGATGTCTAGCACCAGAACTGCAATCTCCTAATGAGATTTTGGGTGTACCTTTTACATTTGATCATAAATCGCCTCCTACGCTAACCCTTTCGCTTCCTAATTACACATGAAAAGAAGCCAAGTACTGTATTGCCTCGAACCATTTGTTACAGAGTAATATATTTACTGGGGTTTTTTTATTTGGAGAAAGTTTATATAAAGTTGCAACTTTAAAACATAGAATTACAGATGCACCTCAAAATCTATCGGAAAAAGTTGTTTTAATGTTTTAAAAAACCTCTAATTAATCATCTTGATGTCGAGATGTATGAATGTAGACAAAAAAAAAAAAGATTTTGAATCCCACAAATAGTGCATCTTGCAATACATTATCTAGACCGTCCATTTTCAATATTTTCATATTTTTATAGATCTACTTGATTTTAAACCATTTTAGGAGTTTAAAATTTTATAACTAGATATGAAAATAGATAATCCTATGAATTTTGAGATAATCCTATGAATTTTTTGTACCCAAATTATCTGTTATGATCAAATTTGTAGGTGCGCCTTAATTGGATTGTTTAAGGTTGCAACCTTATAAAAACCACACCCATTTTTTTTATGTTTTTTGATTTTTTGAGGGGGTGGGGGAGAGAGAGGTAGGGGATGGTTTGCTAATTATTCATGAAAAGAAGCGTTGTATTGTCACATTTAAAAACCATTCACATAAACTGTTTACTACGGTTTGGATGTGACATCGAAAGGAGCTGCACTCCTGAACTTGAGGTTGCACCACAGGCCAGCTTTGGTATGGATGGTGGCCCCCGTGACCAGCTCTACTTGATCCGGAGGATCCCTCAGCTCCACATTAAACTTGCGCAACAGCATGGCCAGCGCAACTGTCGATTCCATGAGTGCGAACTGATCCCCCACACATTTGCGGGGTCCCCCACCAAAAGGGAGGAAAGCGAAATCTGCCACAATCTGATGACCATGCAAATCCATTATAGTCTCTCTCTCTCTCTCTCTCTCTCTCTCTCTCTACATCAAATAATAGTTCGGTTGCTGACCTCATTGGAGTACAGGGCTCCTGGGCTTCGGCTGGGGTCGAAACCAGCCCATCCTTCAATTCCTTCACCTTTCCGGGGTCCTAAGAATCTTTCTGGTTCAAATTCATGTGGCTGCTCCCAAAAATAGGGAGATCTGTGAAGGTTGTATACCTAGAGAGGAAGATGGGAGAATCATATGTGTGGGATTTGGAGAAATACATTAATGAAAACAGAGATGACAGGGATTGTTCCCATAACGTAAGGATCCCAGAGAAATACACCTAAGAAGGAGCAACTTAGGTGCATGAAGAAAACCGGAAAACAAAAATAGAAATGAAAGGAAACAACTTCTGCATGTTTAGAGGGTAGTGCATCAAGTTACTGCAATGCATAAGAAAAAGAAGGAACCTGAATTATGTTGTCAGAAGTCTCATCTAAACACTCACTTTGTCCTTAACAAGATGAGTTCTCAGATTCTCGTTATAGAAATGCATCATTAATGTTTCCAACATCTACATACAATATAAAATAGACCACGGATGAAAGTCACCCAATGAAATGTGGACAGGATAATTGAACATATTCACTACACTCGAACACAACAGGCACAAGCAAAATCATTGGGAGCCAATAAAGAGCAAACTTGGTTCTCAGGTATGGAGAGAAGTCTCCTTAATAGGCTGCACCACATACCGTTGGCCATAACATTCTGCAATGACATGGGCTTTATATGTCTTCAGTAAAACATTAGAGTGGGTTTAACCTACACAATATAACCCACAACAGTCCTCCCACAAGGTAGATGAATGAACTGCAGGTCCCATTACGAAGGGTGGAGAAATTTTAATTGTGTTTGACCATATCTCTACATTATAGAATCATAAAGAGCCAGGGTAAATTTGACAGATCTAGATTAATGTTTTGAAGAAGGAACTAACATGGATAAGGATTTTGTAACTCAGGCTTGACAGTGGAGTGTTCAACAATGCCCAAAGTCATCCAAACAATATTTGTTTTGAGTTTTGTAGTTTGCTTCCACTCACCCCGGCACATAGTTAAGGGAACCTTGTGGGTAGGGTGACGATCCCACTACGGAACCTCGATCCAACGGTTCTTGTAAGGGATCTTGTAAGAAGCCCGGTTTTTCATTTTGGGATCTCACTCCCAACATAAGGAGACCACGTTCCATCTATAAGTGAAACCAGTTCCCTTTTGAAATAGATCCCCGCTCCCATCAACCATGGACCAAGGTTTTGGTGGATTAAAATCTCAGATTCCATGTTTGTGGTATCTATTTTCATTAACAGATAATACCAGGTTAGAGATTGCCATTGTCCCAAGTTCCCATTCTTTAGGAATCATAAATTCCATGATAGTAAAATCCAGTCCGTTTTTCGCATAGCACAAAGTTTCATTATTTTAGATTCTTAATTTGAACTAGGCATGGTCTAGAGTGACCCATTGTTTTATTAAGTCCTATTGTGTAAGCTATCCCTCTTAGTTGTGAAAATATATATTTCATTTAAAATCTTATATTTATGAAGTCCTATTGTTTTAGATTCTTAAATCACAATGATGAATCCTCTTAATTGTGAGATGAGAATATATGCTTCATTTCAATCTTTAAAAAGCTTCTTGTACATCAGAGAGAGAGAGAGAGACAATAGTTCATCTTGTCCTCTTGTCCCTTTGGAGAGTCAGCCTTTGAGAAACAATGGAAGCAGTGGAGACTTTATTCGAAGAAGATGATCCTTGAGTGGTAGGATTCTGGGTTACTGGGGACTCCGAGGGAATAGTACATGCCAAATTTGTGTCATGGCCTTAAGATTAGTGGGAGGGATAGGCCTTGGTAATGGAGCACTTTGATGAGCCTCATCATAAGCATCAAGGCAATCGCCTAATGCTTCTAATGCCTCAACATTATCCTCAAGGTGATCATTATCAGGATGAAAATCCCATCCTTTGTCCTTCTCTGTATAGTTTGATTGCAGTTTAATTAACAACCTGTCATTGTAGTGAACATAAACCAATAACTTGAAGCATTAAGCATTTGACTTGTTCCGTTTAACACTGTGAATATAAGTACCTCAGCACCTCTCTGCACATGACGAGCTGAAACTCTGAGACAACACCTTAATAACTAGTGAATATAATTCAAGAACCCCATCAACATATCGATCCCACCACGAAACAACTGACATTGTTCCTCTGTCGGAAATAGATGCCAGGATTAAGAAAACTCCTTTATTACTAACAAAATCACTAATGTGCTGTCGTATTCTACCCCACTCATTCTCATCAAGGTACTACCTCTCAAGCACAGCAAGATAAGACGCCGATACTTCTTTATCGTCGTGCGACTTTAGCCTCTTCTCCCCACAAAGAGTTGGCATAGTTAACCACTCTTGAGAGTGATACTCAAGACTTAAAATATATGCCAAACATAGTTAAGAATCTCGATATTAGAACAAGAGGAACCCTGTTCTATGACATACTTAAACCTCGATTCTTTAACCAAGGGAACTCGTACTAGCTCTACTTAACCTCATTTTCATGTATAGTGGCGTGTAGATTCCTGCTAGTCAAAACATCGAACCAATTGACATGGGCTCTCTCTCCCATAAGCTTAAAGATCTTGTTCCTTGTCTTGTTCATTGTACAGACGCCGATCCTAACCCCAAGGAGCTTCGACTATGGGACAATTCGGCGAATCTCGAACCAATCCTGCTCCCATCTCCAACAACTATGCCACGACATCCATTGAAAAATTTTAAAAATAAAAATGTGTTTTTATATGAGCAAATCATTGTATAAGACTATGCCTTGAGAGGTGAATGGGATAGATATTTTTTATAACAGCTGGATAGGGGAATGGACAGCCAACTCCAAACGTCCTCATATTCATATAAATCATCTACAATATAGTTTACAAAAAATCATACATAAGTAACAATTACTGACACCTTGGCCTTCAAAAGTCTATCCTTACTTGGTCAGGTCTTATGTAAATTTATCTCAAATCTGTTTATTGGCCCTAACAAATTTTGTAACCACTTGTTTATATTTGATTTTCTCTCTTACGAACTGTTGATTTATCAATTTTGGGTCTTTCCATGTAGTACTGGATTCACAGAGATGGCTATTACATTTTATTATCACAACATACAATGATAATAGACAATTTGGGACCAAGAACCATAGCAAGACTTCTTATGCAAGTGATTTCAGAGGTGAATGCTTCCATTGTCATATATACTCAGCCTCCACACTTGATCTTGCCACTGTCCTTTGCTTCTTGCTGCACCAAGATGCCAAATTCTTGCCCATAAACCCACAATAACCTATGACTGATCTTCTAGTACTCGGGTCCCAGCTCAGTCGGCATCTGAGAAGGCTAGAATCTTATGATTCATGTCCACTGGATTATTTTGGAGCTAAAGCAGCCCATCATTCATAGTGCTCTTTATGTATCTCGATATCCTCTTGGCAGCATCGAAATGATCTCTTGGACTACGCATATTGGCTCACCTGATTTACCACATAAGCTATATCACGTTATGTGAAAGTGAGAATGGAAAGCACCAACTATACATACTCTCCTTGGTTTGAAATAGAACCCCAAAACTTTCACCATCTCCCAATCTTTTATTCGAAATGGCACATGTAGAGGCTGGTTTTGCATTTAACATTTTGGTCCTTTTCGAAAGGTCTATAGCATATTTGCACTGCCTAAGTAGCATCGTATTTTTCTTTGTTAAAACTTGTATGCCCATGAAGAATTCTAGATTTCCCAGATCCTTCATTTGAAATGCATCAAAAAGATCCTTTTTGATGTGATTCATCTTCTTCAATGACATAACTATGAGCACAATGTCATCTCCATAGAGTAGTAGAGTGGATACATCTTCTCCAACATTCTGAATAAATAAAGATTGGCCCACTGGAGTTCCCAAACAATATTCCCTATTTACTTTACAGAAGCTATCAAACCAAGCTCGTGATGCTTGCTTCAACCATATATTGTCCGATTTAATTTGAACACCTTGAGTTTTGGATCTCCATCATTATATCCCACTGGTTGTTCTATATATACTTCTTTCAAATCCCCATGTAGAAATGTATTATTAACATCCATCTCAAAAATTCTCCTAGTCATGGGCTAGTGCAAGGGATCACTCTAGTACAACTCACATGGAGACAACAAATGATCAAGTCCCTCACACCAATTACATCGACATCTCCATGCCTCAAACATTTTAAGTTAAATATTAATGGGTCTTCCCTTTAGAACCCAGGGAATACAGGTCGTGGGGGAGTCATCAGAAGCGACGATGGTTCTTTCTTTGTTGCTTTTGTCATTCCCCTTGGTATCACATCAAATAATTATGCAGAATTCTATGTCCTGCAAGCAGGAGTTGATTTGGCTATCCAGATGGAATGTTTCCCCTTACAGATTAAAAGTGAATCCTCACTTCTTGTTCAGGTCATTTATGGTAGCTGCAAATCTCCATGGATGCTCCATACAATAGCTGCTAATTGCCAATATAGACTTGCAAATTGTTCATGGTCGATTTGTCATGTCTACCGCGAGCCTAACATGGTAGCCGACGTACTTACTAAAAAGGCTACAATCTCTTCAGCAGCAATCATTTGGGGATCTAGGCCTCCAAACTTTATTTCTCTTCCTTTACTTCATGATGTTGCACAACTGGCCTATGATAGGGTTGTAAAATAGTGAGTTGTAATTTGTTTCTTTCTATTAATGAAAAACGGGTATGGGGCCTTCTCCCCCACCGATTTACCTGAAAAAAAAAAAATTACTGTTAGTAGTGAGTTAGCAATTTTTTAAACCATTAGTATTTTTCGAATGGGAATAGCATTAGTAGGAATGGAACCGAGACCGGTAGTTGAGTCATAAGCGGTGCTACCACCTTGACCTCAACCCATCTAATAGTGCCCATTTTTACCACTAGACTAAAAGTTTCATCATAGCCCAGCCTATACTCTTGATTATATCCCTTGGCAACTAGCCTTGCTTTGCATTACTCAATGGAACTATCTGCCCTATACTTTATTATATACACCCAATTTGAGCCCACAACATTTTTCCCTTTTGGCCTTGGGGCTAAATATCACCCGTGTTCTAATTCCATTTAGTGATTGAATTTCTTCATTCAGTGTCTCTATCCATCGTGTATTCTTTTCTGCGATTCATACAAATCTAGCTCGTGCTCTTTTAGAATTTCTGTCAAGAAACGTTAATGTTCAATAGAAAGAGAATCATAACTTACCCACTTTTCTATTGGATGCTGAGTGCAAGCTACTTTTGAGTTGATTTCGGTCTCCAACATCTAAAGATTGTGAATTACTGCATTCTTAATTTACTGCTCTTGAAGGGTCATATTACGTCATCTTCCATGAGTTTATACTTCTTGGTGCACATTTTCTATGCTTGGATTATCCTTCATGGGCTGCTCCGAGTGTTTTCTTCTTTGACAAGACTATTAACTCTTTATCATGCTTTTCATGTGCGACACTTCATATTCTTCAAATGAATGACTTTTAGTAGATGCTAGTCATCGTGTAATATGCTTAAATCTATCTGGGTGTTTTTGGGCAGCATCCTGAATGCTTCAAATTTTGGAAGCATTGGAGGAGAATACATTCGTTTTTCCTGAAAAGTCCCATGGCGAGAAATTAACATTGTCTTAGAAAATCTGTGGGGTGAGAGATTAATTAGAGCAATCCATTCCAAAATCAGCAATCATGAGTTTTAGTTAAATGATTAGGAACTTTATCCCCTTACATTTTGACCCAATCCAAGTCCTATTTAAAATATAAATCCAATCAAATTTAAACCACATTTAAATACCATCTAGATAAAAATTATCTAGATCTCTAGATCTCCTAGGAAACCAAATCTTATTATATTTCCCATCTTAATTTACATTTTAAAAACAAAATGTGACATGTTTAAACAAATATAACATACCTTAGATGAAACTAAGTCACAAAAGGAAATGCTCAAGAGATTATTGTGCTCTTAGATTATAAATTTTGATCATTATCTAGAAAAATAAAATAAGCATGATTGAAAGATTGAACAAGAACTTTGAATATCACTATATTGAAAGATTGAACAAGAACTTGGAATGTCACTATACTAGAGATCTTTCATTCTTGCAAATAATAATGATTGACCACTACAGACATTATGTATTGGTCAACACTCAATTCATGGATTCTATTTACATAATGATGTTTGGTAAAATATAAGATCAATATTTTAGCTTAAGCCTTAATTCCTTCTTCAAAATTCATTTGGTTTGAAAAGTAACTCTAGTAACTATAACTTATTAGAAGTCTTGAATTCCATGTAAACAACATATGCATAGGAAATAAATGTGTGACATGTAAATTCTTTATCCTAATAGCAGAAATTAAAAAAGAAAAAGAAAAAGAAACACAACCTCATTATAGAACAATGCAAACGCGGAATAATATACTCACGGAAATAAAGATATCAGTTCCAGCTGGGATCGCATATCCATCTTTATCTCCTTTAAATCCTCCTACAAAAAGTCAAATTGCACGTTTGGTGTCTTCCTATACCACAAAACATAAATGTGAAAGTGATGACTGAACCTTTTGACTATCCCAAGCAATCGTTCAGTTTCTCTTTTTGAAACAAACATTTTCACATGGTTTCAACACGTCGAATCCAATATAACAACAGACATATACGACGTCACGAACAACGTAAATTATCAAGATGTTATTTTGACTCCATATATTTTGAAAATTTTTGGGGTAACATTCCAATCTGGTATCAACTACAATTCTTGTCAGCATGCAGTTCAATTTCCTTGGATTTCATTTTATCCCTGACAAAAGGTAAACTACCCCATTGTGCCTTCTTTTCTAGTGAAAACTTGAGTTCAAATTTGAAGCAATGTTAATGGCAGCATGATTTTCAAAGATGTATATAGGAATATGAATATGATGCTCAATCGTCGTAAATGAGATCCAAATCAACTTGTCTCACATGTTGCCTCATGTTCAAGTTTTCGACTCATTTGGTTCTTGCTTTTCCAAGTCAACAAGTTTCCTCTGAATGAAAATACAAAATCCAGTAGTACTATCTCCTAAAGGTTCAATCAGCATTTGAGAAAGCAGATATCTCAATCCCTCTTGCATTCGTGTGGTTCTCAACAAATACTACTCACTTTGATATATGTACTTAGATTGTTGCCACTTTGCTTTAGTACCTTGGGGTGTTGCGACGATTTGCATCCATTCCACTGGACATTCTTTCTAGTAGAACTTATTTTGCTTATCTATGTGTAGGTATGTGATGGCTACATATTCTTTTATTAACCTAAATAAATTTCTGCAAATCCGGAATGTAAGAACAAAGTAGTAGGGGAGATTCACTTCCAGAATTTTCACATGTGAAGAGAATTGTTGGATGAACTAGATACTAATAATACAAGCATCATGAACTCCATACTTGATGTAGGAAAAAATTATTCTAATTAATATATAAATTTTAATTTTAGTTTTAAGGTCCGTTTCAAGGGATTTTAATTTTTTTAGGGATTCTAGGCTTACTATTCACTGGTTACGATTCATAGGACTACTCGTATGTACTGTTCATATATACTTTCTAAGTGTTACTATTCACAGGGTTATTTCTTAAATTTTACTATTGTTTAGGGCTATTTTAGAGTCTTAATTATGTACTTTGGTCTCAATTATGTACTATTGTTTAGGGCTATTTTAGAGTCTTCATTATGTACTTGCGTCTCAATTATGTACTATTGTTTAGGGCTATTTTAGAGTCTTAATTATGTACTTGTTTAGGGCTATTTTAGAGTCTTAATTATGTACTTGTTTAGGGCTATTTTAGAGTCTTCATTATGTTCATTGCACAATGGCCTCGACAGAACTATAATTTTGAAGAAGAAAAAAAAGGATCCAACCTTCAATTGGATTCAATATGATTTGAATCAATAGAAGGTCTTATCTTCGATAGTGCTCCTATCTTTGATAGTGATCCTATTTTTGATAAAGAACCAAGTAATATCTTGATGGTCATCCAATTTTTCATGAGCCATTGGACGAAGTTGAAAAATTTGGAGAACTTATCTATGATAAGGATCAAGATGAAGATGTTTTGGAAGATGATCTTGCTTGCGAAGAATATGGAGAGAAGGTAGCAGGGGAACTGATAAAAACATGGCCTTTGAAGATCTCAAGGATAGTGAAGAGGTGGAGCATTCTAGAGATTTAGAGCATTGGAATCAGAGTAGCACAGTGGAAATGTGGTTGAGTCATAAACTGCAAATTGTGACCTTGATTTTAGAGCGCAATGAAATAAATGTCAAGAGAGCCCCTTGAGGATAGGAAATTGCGTTAGATATTTCCTCCACAATTTTCAATGGGAGTTCAAGAATAGTCGAATTTGATAAATTTTCATACTATATATATATATATATATATATATATATATATATATATATACTA